CAGTTAGCGCGAAATTTCTTTACATTTATAAAAACTACGAGGAGTACCTATACATTTTTGACCCTTAACAGGATTCCTATGGTTAAATAATCGCTGTATGCATGTTTGAAATAAATTTGGGAGGTCCAAGTTCGAGTCCTGAGTTAATCAACTTACATGATTTAATTCAGGACTGATGAATGAGTTCTTTTGAAAAAGTTTTTTTCAGTTGTACCTAACCCAGTGTTGGTATAGCGGTTACGTCCCCCAGCTTGAGGGATTATGTTAAACCATGAATTCTGCGCCTGATCTTTTACTGGTCGTGTCGAATTGTCATCTCATTGGACTTTGAGAGTGAAAGGATTAGAGAGTGCACTTGAGCAACTTTTTTTTTCGAATTTTAAAAATGAAATTTTTTTTTTTTAATTAAAAACTATACCAGTGCAGGGACGAGATTTCAAGAAAACTTTTCCCACATTCTACATAAGTCATAACAGGAATGAGTTATAAAAAAAAATAACAAAAAAAAGTTTATGTAGTTAAGCTTATTAATATGGGTTTAAATTAATTAGAGATTGACAAAAATCATACAGACTGCATTTATAGTTTTTGAGTTCTACGTGAAAATCAGTCGTCGTTCAACTTTTTTGAAAAGTTGTAGATACATCAATTATCGCACATTATTGTTCACGTTTCATACTTAATAAAATATGATATTATAGAAATGGCACATAAGTAAGATACTACTTATTAATTTACAAATTTGCTACATCGAAAATGTAAAACCAAACATTTCATCCGAGATGTATCGAACTTACGGCCTATAGTACTATATGATCCAGACCAATTCCGGCCATGGCGGCGAATCTCAATATTGAAATTTGAAATTATGATATATCAATATTGAAATTTGCATTTGAATACAGATATATGGCGAAGCACACATACTGTTATTAAGTTAAATTTTGATCAAAATCCTTTCCGTAGTTTGTTAAAACGTGAACAAATGGATACACAGACAAATAAAAAAAACTGTTTTGTAAACTTTTATGGCCTATATCAATAACTAGTGAATCACCCTCGCTTCGCTCGGGTTCGTCCCTAGCTGGCTACCCAATACAAACTTTCATCCCCATTTTCACCCCCTTAAGGGATGATTTCCGTGATAAAAGTATCCTATGTCCTTTCCAGGGTCTCAAACTATCTTCTTACCAAATTTCATATAAATAGGTCAGTAGATCTAGATATTACCCCCTACAACGTCACAAACTCACAAACTTTACCTCTTTATAATATTATAGTATAGACGCTTAATCTTTAAATTTTAATATGAATAATTACTTGGAAAAATATTGAAATTATTTAATGTCAGACACGGCCCCTCTACGATTTCATTATAAGTATAAACAAGTTGGATTTTTCGCTATTGAATAAATTTTATATATTATTTTTAAAAACATCTGTTCAATAAAGAACCTTTTCCATTAATATTAAAATCTAACAAAGGCATAATTTAAGAATTAACAAAAATCTCGCTTGAAATAACCCACCTGTAGCAGTTCATTACAGCCGGTATTCTTTTAAGGATTTGTCGTTGTTGATGTTTATTTTATTCAATCACAGTGATTAGCCACCTGCGCAGGAGATGTTATAGTGTACAAGTGAACGTACAGACACAAGTGCACTCTCTATAATTCTTGTCCTTAAAAGTCTGATGGAATTATTTTTCGACACGACTGGAGAGAGTTAAGACGCAGGATCGATGGCTTTACGTGCTCCTGGAGGCACTGGGGTGAAACACCGCCAACTTCGAACTCTGGAGAACTGAGAATATCTTAACATAAAAACTCAATAATCAAACTTGACCCGATCCAGGACTCGAACCCAGTACCTCCGGATCTGCAGCCGTACAAGCTAGCCACTAGACCACTGAGGCAAGTACTAATACGCCTAGTAGTGGCCGTGTCTCATTCCGGAAATATTTATGCCATATATGTATTTGTCACGAACTGTATGTATGTAGTGTGTTCTGCATATTACGGACGGACTAGGATTCAAATAATAATATTATTAATTTGTTATTGTTTTTTTTAATATTCCTCACGCTTAAATGGCTGGTCGGATTTGGATGAAATTTAATACCCAAATACAGTATAATCTGGAGTAATATAAGGCACCGAGATATGCGAGGGTATCGCTCTGATACAATTTTTGGAAATTATTCATCATGTTGATACAATTTCTGATATATTTTTTATTCTAAGAAATTAAATACTAGAAAACATTTTTCGGCATAAAAACCCTATGTGTTAGTCCATACTATAATCTATATCTGTGCCAATTTGCATCCAAATCCGTTCAGCCGTTCTGGCGTGAAAGAGTAACAAACATCCATACTCACAAACTCACATTTATAATTTTAATACGGACATATGGCGAGCACTAGCAATCTGTCGTCGATATTGCGTCATCCACATTTGAAAGAAAAAATGCATTTTCAAGAAGTCCAAAGTCACTTTTTATTGACAAACACGTTTTCAATTCAATTAAATAACTAAATCTGGAGCAACAAGGCCTTTTATTTTTGTCCGAATGCCGAAGCAATAACTCGTAAGTCATAACGAAATATATACAACTATATTATCTAATGTAACTTGTTTTACATGTATTATATTACTCGTAGGTCGTAGTACCTAAGACCGAGCTTCCCTCGGCCTTTCTCAGAAGTTATATAAAAATTGAGATTTTTTAGAAAAGAACCCTATATAGGTAAATAAACTTGAGAAGCATAAATAAATAGAAAATTTGATAGGAATCCATAAAGCCGTTTCCGAGATACACAAAACAAATTTATATATATACAAGAATTGCTCTTACTCAAGTAAATTAGTCACTCTAATATAGCAAATGCGAAATTTACAAGTGAATGTGTTTGATTGATACTTATTATAGCTAATGGCCATTTTTTTATTGAAATTCAGAATGGAGATAAAGGTCCAAGTTAAATTTGGTAAAATCTGGGTAAAAATAGTTATAGCATCACAAGTGGTGTAAAGTTAAAATTGTTCGGAATTAAATATTACTGCTTAGACCACACTTTTTTTTCTATTAGCAACATTAAAGCTCGTTAGCTACAAGACAAAAGCTACTAAACAAAAAAACTACAAAATCGGTTGACAAACAGAGGAGAAAAAGGTATTTTTAATATTTTTGTGATATAGTTATTTAGTAAATATAATATGAATAGACTCATTCATTAAGAAAGAGTTATGAAAATTTATTTTCAATTGGCGAAGATATAGAATTGTGTACGTACATACATACATACCTATAATATTACCTAATTGATCGATACCTAAGATTGGTCACATGTTTAAATATCAATCAATCCAATCAATGATTTGTGGTACTCGCTTTACTATCTGCTTCATGCTATAAATACATATATATGATTTATGATTGAACTGCCTCCGTGGTGTAGTGGCTAGCATGTACGGCTGCACACCCGGAGGTCCTGGGTTCGAATCCCGGGTCGGGCCAAGTTTAGTTATTGAGTCTTTCTGTATAAGTAAGCCTCAGTAACAGCCCGGAGTTGAGAAGTTGGCGGTGTTTCACCCCCGTGCCTCGGAGAGCACGTAAAGCCGTCGGTCCTGCGCCTTAACTCTCACTGGTCGTGTCGAACAGTCGTCCCACCGGAATATGAGAGTGACAGGAATAGAGAGTGCACTTGTGTCTGCGCGTACACTTGTGCACTATAATATCTCCTGCGCAGTTGGCTAGTCTCAATGAGATTGGCCGCCGTGGCCGGAATCGGTCGGGAGAACATCATCACATATATATGACATAAAAAGTTAAACATACGCCATATTTGTATATTTTTGTAGCCAACCAAGAATCGAATTCACTATCTATAGTATCTACAGCTAACAGTCCACCAATAAACTCTCATTATAATAAATTTTGAAACTACATTATTTATTATTATGTACTTGGTTCATAAGAAATAATTTTACTTGTCTAACTAACCGCATTCCTAAAGAGCTTGTTAAAATAACAATTGAATATATTTGGTCAGTAAATGGTATCGATTTCAGTCGGTTTAATCATTTTCGATAACAACTTATATGATTTAAGTTAGTGGTCCAGATTTGTTTTCAATGATACTTATCGTACTAATGAAAAGCTGGTTTTATTTATATCTGTCGACCCAAGTTCCTTTGACGTTTTATCTACTCAATAAATTTGTTTGTTTGTATGTAGGAAGTTGTCTAATAATTTAACAATTTTCTCACTGTAGAAAGCAAAATATAGTGTATATATATAACGAAGTAGAGCTTGGTTTTTCTTACATATCTATACATATGTAGCGAGCGAGTCGCGTGTAAATAATTTGTATGTTTATTATCTATAGTACATATAATAAAATTGTAACTAAGCCGAATCTCTACATTAAATATTTTTTGGAAAATCTTATTGAAACAAACATTATTATCGAAATAGAAACCGAATCTATAGTTTTTAGATTTTTTTTTAGTCTGTCTGTCACCGCATCACAGAAAAACCACTGGAGACATTTTGATGAAATTTGTATGGTGATAGCTGGTTATCCGGGTCAACATATAGGATACTTTTTACCGCGACAAAATATCTCATTTCTGAATTAAAATACAAAAACTGCATTGTAAGAGTATACTAATATGTAACACCTAAGAATTTGGCTTTTGGTCATCTGAACGCGGGCGGAGCCGCGGGCAATGCTAGTTTCTTATATAATAAAAGTCAGCGTAATTATATTGTTTATTTTGGTTTTTATTACATCTACTAACTATGTATATCGAACCTAGCTGCAATAATTCTTCATAGTGCCGGTCCCTATCTTCTGCGATCTCCGCTTATCTTATCTTTAGTCTGCCTTTAAATATAAATGATCTATTTTATTATCATTTTAAGACCTGAGTAACTTGAGTGACTATAACTGGTAGGTAGATATAATAAAAATATTAATAATGTCCGCCTGACCGATGCCGGCCACGGCGGCCAATCTCATTGAGACTAGCCAACTGCGCAGGAGATATTATAGTGCACAAGTGTACGCGCAGACACAACGTGCACTCTCTATTCCTGTCGCTCTCATACTCCGGTGGGACGACTGCTCGACACGACCAGTGAGAGTTAAGGCGCAGGAACGACGGCTTTACGTGCTCTCCGAGGCACGGGGGTGAAACACCGCCAATTTACCAACTCCGGGCTGTTACTGAGGCTTACTGTACAGAAACACTGAATAACTAAACTTGGCCCAACCCGGGACTCGAACCCAGGACCTCCGAGTATGCAGCCATACATGGTAGCCACTACACCACCAAGGCAGTTTTAACAAATACTCCAATCTAAATAGTAAATACATTAATTATAATATTATTGTTTCGTTTACATAAAATATTAACGATGACAATTATTAAAAAGTTAACATAAAAAAAACATAGAAAAAAATGTTTTTTTTTTTTTAAATAAAACAATAATAATTACGTACTGTAAACCATTCGGAACAAATTAACTATAACTATGCAACTGTAAGATTAGCAGCTTACATTGGAAATGAGATACAAATTTGTATCTGGCAATGTTCACCTAATTCCCAACAAAACCTTTCATTTGTACGAACGCCATAAAGTGTTAGATAAATCACAATCTAGACCAGTTCGTTCATTCGTCACTTTGTCTTTGAACAGTTAACAAGGTAACAGACGCGATTTCTAAGCTTACTTTCAGATATTCTCGAATTAGCTACAATTGCTATGAAACCCAATCTGATACCAAACAACTTAAACTGCAAATTGCTTCCAAATAATAAATCTTATCAAGCAATAATCCATCTTATTTAATAAATCATAGGTACTAATATTGTACGAGGCAATATCTCTATTATGTAGTATAGTACGGTAGACCGAACATTGTCAGGCCAGAGTTAATAACCACATCAAGTTGATCTATCGTTCCTCATTTTTCTTATACTTCATTGAGGTAAAGCTATCCATATAACGGTTCCCGTTCTACTGGATACGTTAACAGATTTACTGTCAATTTTAATCAAGTTATTTGTGCCGCTTAGTTTAACTCAAAGGCCATAGATTCTATTCCCGATTTAGTGAAAATGGAATGTATTAGATGGTATCATTATAGCTATAAAGGCATGTGGAACCCTTAAGAGAATGGATAGCCGATAGATTGAGTATCTCATATCTGACCATTTATCTAATAGTCGTTTAGCTTTACTTATGAAATTTTATCGCCTTTTGAACCGAAATAGAAACTCTATTAAACTATACTAATAACATGAAAGTGTTTGTTTGTTTGTTTAAACGAAGTAATCTCTGGAACTAGTAGTCAAATGAAAAAAAATCTTTTTATAAGCATAACACTAAAACCTTTAAATAAACTATGCAAGCAGAGTTGCGGGTAAAAGTCAATATTTATAATATACGTGTGCTTATTAATTAAAAAATAATAATTTAAAAATGTAACGGGTAGAAGCCACGACAATTAATACTATGGCAAGTTAAATAAAATCGATGATTAGTTGCTTTTTATATTAATCTTACATATATAATACAACACTGGGCTTATTTAGATAAAATAATATAATACCAAAGTAATAACCTCATTAGTTACATCCTTGTTTCTTATCTAAGATGCTGCTTGCATCTAGTTGGTCAGCAAAAATTAAAATTAAATGATCCCGCGCAACGATTGCAATCGACGATTCACTGTACAACCATGCCCTAAAGTTGTGTATGCACTTTAAATTTACTATAAATAAGTATATTTGTACAAAATAGGTATTTTTATATTTACAATTTTGTTGATTTATTAAAAATATGGGATGTTATATTTCTATTTCTGTCTTAACGTAAATTTTAAAAAGCATAGGCAGATTTCAATGCGGTTTTTAATTAAACACAAGCGACAACAATTAAGACTTTATCTATTAGCTTTATTATGATATACTATATTATGCTATATATCTGTGTTAACGAGCCACTTCTGGTCACGGGCCTCCCTTCAGTACGAGGGGAATCAGGCCATAGTCCACCGCGCTGGCCGAGTGCGGGTTGGCGGACTTCACATATCTTTTAAAAAGTTGCTAGGTTCTCTCAGACATTCAGGTTTCTTCACGATGTTTTCCTTTACCGTTAAGACAAGTGGTAATCATGAAAATATAAGAGGTACGAAACTCGGGACTTGAACTCGCTTCACTTGGTTTCCCAAGCGAGCGCGTTACCACTGGGCTACCACTGCCTCATTACTATACCTGTATCTCTACTAATATTATAAAGAGGTAAAGTTTGTCAGTTTGTGACGTTGTAGGGGGTAATCTCTGGATCAACTATACCGATTTAGATGAAATTTCGTAAGAAGATAGATTGAGATCCTGGGAAGGATATAGGGTACTTTTTATCCCGAAAAGGATTAAGAGAGTGAAAATAGGAATACATTTTTTTATGGGGAATCAAGCTAGGGACGAACCCGAGCAAAGCGAGGGTGAGTCGTTAGTATTATATAAAAATCGATGTGTCTGAGTATATTCTCTATGGACTCCATAACGGCTGGAGCGATTTTGATAAAATTTTCAGGTAATCATCAGATTAGTCCAACAGGACACACTGTGAAGTTTGGTAACAATCGAACGTTTGAAAGCGGGCGAAACCACGGGTACTGCTAATACTATATTAATTAAACTATCGATGACCCCTGTATAATTCACTTATTACAAAAATAGCATGGCGAATGTACCCCTAGCTTTTAATAACATTAGATTTGCGTTGCATGTGAGCTCAGATTGACACTTTGATGGATGAGGGACCAAGCCTGATAGTGTGCAGTTATTAAATACGAAGTAAAAGCCTGTACATGTCTATGCTAAGCAGATTACATGTATTTAATTGAAATCGGACGATAGATTGACTGTAATCTTTATGTTAATTCTTCTACGTTAATCTAGATATTAATTCTACAAATGCTATATTCATATATACTTAATTAATTATATTATGTATATATAAGTATACTTAACCTGCTGTACATCTTTTCTTTGTGTGTTTATGTATTTTTGTTTGTATCTTTTTCTTTTGTACAATATAGTGTACGTGCATTAATTGAACTTAATTATTACCGAACAAGTCATGTCCGCGTGGAATACTATATTATTTAATTTAAAGTAGGTCTTGTTATATACTCAGACCACGGACAAGTCTCTAAAATATTCAAGAAGGATAAATTTATAAAAGTTATACTTTTCGACAAAGAAGAATGCCGACAGCAATTAAAAACTTGAAGATTTTCTTCAAAATTTTTCAAGAAATACTTAATGTACAGATTCGGCTTAGTTACAATTTTATTATATATATAGATAAAAATATCAAAATCAGTTTAAAATTAGCAAAGATTCCGCGCAGATCACATAACACTTAGGCGTAACATACACACAAAAAAAAGAAAAAGAAAATACAGCCACTATTTTTCTACCGAAGAGTAGGTATTGAATATATAAATATTGTTATATATTACATAGAGGATGGATTATAACAAATGATTTCGTATATTGTAATCGAATTCTATTAAAAATACAATAAAAAGACATTGGCACTACACTCATCGAGAACGTATGCTGAGTCAGTATGAACAAATCTCATACAATTTTTAATAAGATCGCTGAATGCAAGGATCATGCAACTCATGCGATACCCTTCATTCAATTCGAATATTAATCAGAAATACTTTAAGTCTTGCCTCCATTCTTTAGAATACGTCGTCATGTCGGTGTACTTACACGTGCTACTTATACTATTAAAAATAAATTGTATTGCAATGGATTTTAATCTATACAGATAAATAAAATTGAAGTGTCTGTTTGTAATGTCAAAGTAACAGCGTTTTATTAAATGTATATGAAATTATATACGGTACTTATAAGAAAAACATATTTTTTAATTTTTTTGTTCGTCTCTCTGTTTGCTCTGGATAATCTCTGAAACGACTGGACTGATTTTGACGGGACTTTCACTGAAAGATAGCTGATGTAGTAGGGGGTAACATAGGCTACTTTTACTTTAGAAAAAGAATTAGGGTTCCGCTGAAAAAAATTAACCAGCCAGACAGACAGACCAAAATTCTAAAAACTATAGATTCGGCCTCTGTATCGATAATAATGTCATGTCATAAGATTTTCAAAAAAAATATTAATGTACAGATTCGGCTTAGTTAGAATTTTCTTATATGTATTGATTACTATGGATATTTTCAAAGAATATGTTTGATAATTAATGGAAATTTAATCCTGTTCAATTTTAAATGTAAGTTTTTGACGAACAAGTCAAAATTTTTAAGAATACGATAATATTACAATATTTTTTAAATATACTATTTTTTATCGAATTTAGAGGTCTTATTAAACTGCAATGCAATATCTCTGGAAAAACTATAAAGAAAAAAGATTTTTTTAATATACCCACAAAAATATAAACTAAATTTTATTTAATTTTACTTTATTTACTTACTAGCGACTCACCTTCGCTTCGCTCGGGTTCGTCCCTTGCTTGATTCCCCATACAAACTTTCATCCTCATTTTCAGCCTCTGAAGAGATGATTTCCTAGATAAAAGGTATTCTATGTCCTTCCCAGGGTCTCAAACTATCTTCTTACCAAATTTCATCTAAATTGGTTCAGTAGATCCAGAGATTACCCCCTACAACGTCACAAACTTTACCTCTTTGTAATATTAATATAGATTTGTTACAATAATCTTAAAACAAACAGGCATAGATTATGCTAAATAAACAATTAGAGATTTTTTCACCAGCAGTAAAATATCTAATTAGAATAAATCATTATCATTTGATTTATATGAGAATGTAAAGAAATCATTCTTATATTATCGAGTAGGTAATATCGATTTCAAATTGTATGGATTGCGAAAATTGTTATTATACTGTGATTAGATATAAAAGAACATGTAATTTATAATCGATACGTCTCTTTGTAATGATTAGATCGTGTTATTGATAAAAAATCTTTAATTCCATTTATAATGCATTGTATTATCATGCAAATTTAATTTAACATTAATTTGCCATAATGGTTGTGCTTATTTCCACATATTTAATTATTATTTCTATTGTATTATGTTGACACGTTTGAGAAGTTTGGCTCAGTTTGTAGTGG